ATCCTAATCCTGCCTCTAAAGTCTGTCTTCCCTGCTCCCTGGAGGGCAGTCACCATCCCTGCCTTACCTTCCTAACAATCCACATTGCCAAGCACATTGTTACACATATATGCAGTGAGTACACTTTTGGTGACAGAAGGAAGAGAATGGTATGAATTAGCCCTTGGTGTTAACATTTATGCCACTCTTATCCGTAGACTATGTCTGAAAACATGAGCTATGACTCCTGTAAAGTCATGTAGAGGAATTCAAATCTAATGTCTTAACCCCTTAAAGGAGAAATGGAGAGAGGCGAGGCTAGTTGTATTTTGGTGCATTGCAAAGCGTGAAAATAGAGTAAAATATCAAATCTCTAAGTACTCTTATTAGAATTCAAAAAGAGATAGATTGAGACTCAGGTTTTTATTACAACCTTGGGTCTCATTTAGATGAATACATCCATTGGATTGATACTCTTTCATGTTCCAGGAGTGTAATTTCCAGTGTAATAAAGGAATTGAAGTTGCGACATTCTATGTTGCCCATAAATGGAAGACAAATTGCAAAAACGTGGAAACAACAGTGGGATAAGTAGAGAAATGACATTCCTGGCCTATTTAAGAATCTCATTTGCAGGCAGGTAGTCAGAGCAGCTGGATACAGGCTCCCACAGCCAGACACCTGCATCACCAGGCTTACCGGGGCCTGCCACCCTCCTCACTGAGGACACCCAGGATGATGTTCTCCAGCCCTGTCTGCACCCTTAGCTGTGACCAGCCCCAAACAATGGCCGGCCAAAGCAGGAGACCTTCACAGTTCTACACCTAAGGGGGAGAATCTTCCTTGTTTTCCTGCCTGAAGGACAAGAATGTTTTCAGGTTCCCTTAGGACAAGCTGGATGACAGTTGGTTCCAAAATGCTCAGGCTGCCTCATTCTTTATGAAATGATCCAGCAGATCTTCAGTCTCTTCAGCCCAAAGAGCTGAAATTCCTATTAGGCTTGATCGCCACTGGGAAGATCTAGAGACCAGTTTGGTGTAGGAGATGGAGAGGAAAAAACTCTGTTGGGCAATGAGGACTCCAGCCAGATTTTGAAGTACTCCTTCCAAAGGACCAGGCTTGATCTGAAAAGAAAGTCCACAGCTGCTGTGGCCGGGACACTATCAGACTGGAAGCTGTGAAAGTCAGTGTGTGCTTTCCTCGTATGTTCAACCTCAGAGAGAACCCAGGAGTGGGAAAGGAGATTTGGACCCAGTCTTCCACAATGGGATCTTATCTACTTATAGGTAGCCTCAAGCATGTCAATATTCACTGAGTTCAGAACTTTTTCTTTGCTTCAGTTGTTAACTGCATTGAGTCATCTCAGCAGATTGTTTTACAATAGTAAGAGGAAAGTATAGTTTTGAGTTTTTATTTGTAATAATTAGAATTTATTTCTCTATGGTATTTTTTTACTTACAAAATTTATTCTTCATATTATTATGTGGTCCTTTGTGTCTTGTTCTGCTTTGCTTTTGGGTGCAAATGGTGTATTTTATTTTACTTTTAAATTTATTTTATTGAAGTATAGTTGATTTACAGTGTTGTGTTAATTTCTACTGAACAGCAACCTGATTCTGTTATAAATATATATACATACTTTTTCTTATTCTTTTCCATTATGGTTTATCACAGGATATGGA